TCCTTGGAACACCAGATGGAGATTTTTGGGTCTGTGAGGCCTCAGCTTGGATGGACGGATGACATGGATATTGGTTGTACACCCCATTCTGTATGCAATTTGGTATTTTTTACAGTATTCACTTATGAAACTACATTCCTTCCTTTTGAAATCTCTGACTAAAACCAAACATATCATTGTCCTGCAGCAGTATTGCACTTAACCAGATTGTGCTAGTATTCTAGTGTTAGTGGCAGTTGCATCACTCCATGTTTTAGATTTTCTGTCTGATAAAGCCCGAGGAGACGGTAGCCATTCTGTCCAACCCCCCCGACGCCCACAGTTCCTGGTAGGTGGTGTTTTCCTCACCCGCCTGCCGCTCGCCCACCATCGTGCCAAACGTGGCATGTGACAGTAGCTGCACATGGCATCCTAGCCCCCCCTCAACACCCACGGCTCCCAACACTCACTTGATCTTCTGCAAGTTTGGCACACTTGTCATGTTCCTTCTTACCCCCCCGGAAACGACGACTGTCTCCGAGGCTCGATGGAACACACAACCACGCTGCAATTAAAGCCATACAGTGACACACATACACACAGACATGTGGAGGAGCAGACATCCAACATGCCTGCTCAGATCAAACAGGTCACAGGTGCAGAGAGATGTTTTGCCTCCGTCTCGTTTTCGCTGCATACACCTTTTTCCGGCGCCGCTCTCACATCGCTGGAAAAGGGGTAAACATGCCAGCTTGTGTTGGCACCAGTCACATCCAGCTGCCATGTCTGAGCGTCCCTCCTTTCCTTGAAATCCTCTTTTCTCCAAATTCTCTCTCTCTCTCCATACCTGTGCTTTCTCCATTCATCGCTTTACTAACACCTTCCTATTTATCCTCCATAATCTCTACCTCAATGAACATGTAACCACTATTAACAGCCTTCATTAAAACATCCTTTTGTTATAACGTTGGTGAGACTGCCCACACCTGCTCCTGCCATCACCCTCAAACATGTTGAGATTGATGTTCAGAATGAACTTTAAATTTGACATCATTTCCTCTGTGAGATGAGGACGATCTGATCACCGAAGACACTCCGTCTCTCGTGTCTAACAAGCTGTGTTAATATTTCAATTACCCTCACAAAGTAATAAATGAAATAGGCGCTAACGTTATTTAAGGCGGCCTTTGTTGAAGTGGGACGAAGCTGTGACATGTGACGAGGCTTGGGTTAACACCTTCATTTCTAATAGGTTTGGGCTGTAAATCCACAGCGATTTGGGAAACATGGTGTGTCCTTATTTATTACAAAGAATTTAAGACATCTTTTCTTGTGTGTTTTCATTATAAAGGTGATTGGATGAAATAATTTTTGCATATCTGTAGTTGAAAGGAAAAATTGTCTTTATTTTGATAATATTGGGGCACTACTGAACTGAGCAAAAGCTTTCAGAGTCACCGGTGGCCAATCAATATGAGATTTAAATAAAAATCAATGTCTAATATGAGTTGCTGATAGGTCTGTTGCTCTGAATGTTTAAAAGAATGCGACACAGTTTTCAGAAATATGCCAAACGCAGCTAGAGAACGTTTAATTCACTTTGATTGTTCAGACTTTTTTTTTGTTTCTACATTTTCTCTTATTTCTTCTCATCTTCTTGTGAAATCCATGCTTTCGATGCTCTTTGCATCTGTCACAGCTCATTCTGGATTGCAAATAGAAGATCTTTCCTTCTCAGACAACCCTGACATTTACATTTGACCTCTATCATGGAGAGAAGAATGGTCACAACCCCGTCATCCTGCGTGCCACAGTTTTTCACACAGTCGAGCTAACAGTGATGCTGTCAACACAACTTCACCAACAGTGTGGGGAAAAGAGAAGGAAAAACTATAAAATTATCCAGTAAAAGCCTGTTTTGTTACTAAAAGATGTGGTCCGTATAGGATGATGTCATCAAGAATAGAAGATTTTGAAATTTGAACGGCTACAGCTCCCATCCCTACACCTCCTCTGGGAGTGGCTGAAAGCCACGCCTCCTAGCACGCATGCACACGCACGCACACACACACACACACACACACACACACTCAAATAGCCTTGTAGAGGGGGGCTGCTCTGACTACATGTTTTTGTTATGTTCCTGCTCAGAAACACCTGACACCTTGTGCATCACCCTGTAGTGCAGGGCTATTCAGTTGGTATCCAGCACGTTTTTATTTTAATCCTGCATCAACACACCTGATTTCAATTAGTAGCTGATTAAAGGTTGGTTTATGCTTGACGCGTCCGCGAGCTCCGCACGGCTCCGCACGGCGAAATTGCATCATTTTAACAACCACGCCCCTCCACCGCGTCTCCGCACGGCCCAAAATTTCCACAACGCGCACCTAGGAAATTTTCTAACCACGCAGACGGTCGGACGCGGAAAACATGGCGGACCGGCAAGAACTAGTATGGCAGAGGTTCGTGAATACAGACATTTGTATGATTCAGCTCTCAGAGATCACCGTGATCAACATGTTGTTAATAATTCTTGGAGAGAAATAGCTCGCACTGTCGGAAAAGATGAGGACGCTGTTAAAAATGCTGGAATGCCATGTTGTAAACAGTAATTTCTACTTCTACTATGGTGTAGTGTTGGTTGCATGCCGTAGAGCTCCATGCTGCCCCTACAGTTTGGGAGAATATTGGCTCACCGCAGAGACGAGCCGCATGAACCATAAACGCTGCGAGTTGTGAAGCGCGTTCCAGCCGCGAGAGCCGCACCACCAAGCGGAAAGTGAATGCGTCAAGCATAAACCAAGCTTAACCGGGTTCTGCAGAGCCTGGTGAGCTGCTGCACAGCTGATTCAACCACTGAATCAAGTGTGCTGGACCAGAGAAACTACTAAAACGTGCTGAATACAACCCCTCAAGATCTGCTGTAGTACACACTGGGAGCTGTGGTCCATTGACAGCTCCCTCTCTTCAAAACTCTAGACTTGTGTCATGATTCATTTTGCCATAGAGACCAGGGGAAGGACTTAAAAGACAACCTACTTTATCCTAGAACAGGGTCAGATAGTCAATTTAAATGTTTTCTATAAATTACTTTAGAATTTCTAAACAACAAGTGTGACATACGCTTAGTTGTTTCCTTTTAAAAATATTGATGCAAGTTCCGAAACTGCACTTTAGGAGGTTCTGCAGGAATTTCCAATCCAGAAAATTGAATAACTCTCAGGAGCCAACTAAAACTAACCACTAAATACTTTAAAAGAGGCACGAGGCAGAGAAAAGAGGATGGAGCGCAGAGCTAGAGGTGGAAGATGCATTTCTTCTGATTCCACTGAGCGAAAGTAGTCGGCATGAAGGCCTTCCAGAAATCAATAGAGGTTCCCCTGTGAGTGAGAGCAAGTCAACAGAGCAGAGAGCGGCGTGGAGTCGGGGCGTACAGATAATATTTATGTAGAGAGACACTGCCAACAACCACTTGGGACCATGCTGAACTCTGATTTATACGTCTTAAAAATCAGTGATCTGGTACACACGCTCTGTGTTCATGTAGGTGGCCATGCTAAACGATTTTGCATCGCAGACTTTTAAAAATTAATTTCCACTCAAAGATTTAGTGTATTATTGTTTTTAAAGGTCATATGATGTCTGCACAAACACCCCACCCTCTCGGGTGTGTGTGTGTGTGTGTGTGTGTGTGTGTGTGTGTGTGTGTGTGTGTGTGTGTGTGTGTGTGTGTGTGTGTGTGTGTGTGTGTGTGTGTTTATCAGACGGGCAAACAGGACAGATGTGCACCTGTATCATTAGCCATGTTCGCTTGAATCCAATCAATAACTTCCATAATGGATGTCTCTGGAACATACAATTAGCAAGATTACCCACCTCGTGAATGAATGCACAGCATGGGCTCACCACTAGCTAATTGTTCTCTTTTACGTTCGTCTGCCAAAGAAAAACAAAGTGAGATCACACTGTGAAATAGAAGTGTGGCGAAAATATTTTTTGTTATCAACAGTTTTCTTATCCGTTTTTTCACAAAGGAGATCCGTGGTTTTGTAATGGCTATGCTAATTGTTATGTTCGACTAGAATACTAATAAGGGCAGTAATTACTGTAGCATGAACTGAAGCACAGAGTGCACCGAAGTTGCACCAAGCTTTAAAAAGAGCCTGAAAAATGGAACCACGATTACCTGGCAGCAGAGGTGGGAAGTAACAAATTACATTTACTTGCGTTACTGTAATTGAGTAGATTTTTTGCGCATTTATACTTTTTAAGTAGTTTTTAAAATCTGTAATTTTACTTTTACTTAAGTATTGTTTTTTGAAAGTATTGTACTTCGCTACATTTTTTATCTTATCCGTTACCGAGTAAAAAAAAAAACAACATTGCAAAATACTGTGTCGGCACGGTTCGCACTGGATTCAGACTCAGACACTACAGAGAAGAGACGAGAGTATAAACATATACATATGTAGAAGCGTCTTAACGCACTCGAGAGTGATCCAGCGCTTAATGAAGTGTCTATATACTTATATGTCTACACTGGTAAGACCCAAACACGGAAGTGATGTGGACGCCGAAGCCGCCCACCAGAAGAACTGGGTGCTTAAGTTACGAGTGTTACGGGGTACGAAGGAAAGGATAAGAAACACTAACTGACTATTCAGATGACTGGAGGATCACCTAAGAAGATCAAAGCTTGTGAGAAGGATTAATGAAGAGATGTCTGAGGGGTCAACAGGTGAGTTGAACTTCTTAGTGTGAAACATGTGTTCAGTGACCTTACAGTGCAATGAATGGTGGGTAGGAGAAAATAGGCGCTAATGGTATGAGAAAGACAGCCTGGCCTGCCAGACTCCTCCTGTTTAATTCACGTCATACACGGCGATGCTCAATTTCTCATAAACAACGAAGACAGCGGCGGAGTTCGCTGCGGCTCTTTCCTCTGTTCTAAATGACACAGATGTCTTTAAAGTGCATGTCAAGTGTGCCTCAGAGTCTTACCCCACCCACATATCAATTTTGAAAACTGCAACATTAGTAGGCGTTGCCTGGAGGACCGAGAGGGCGGAGCCGTGGCAGTGACGAAGAGACGGCTAACTAGACGAAGCTAGCTCCCTTCACTCTGAGCAGTCATTAGAAGTGGAGGACGTTTCTCCCCCTCCTTACCCAGACACTCGAGAAGAAAGGGACCAAGTCTATTTGGAGGAGACAAGCGGACATGAGCCTTATTGTTTTGAGCTTGTGAGTTGCCTGAAATTACTGGAACCGACCCAACAGACCCATCTCTGAACGTAAGTAGCCGTTAGCCATAGCATTGGATTAGCTGCAGGGTTTGTCTCCATGGCCCCAAAAAGCTAGTATTCAGCATGTTTTAGAGATTTATCTGCATCAACACACCTGGTTTTAATCAGCAACAAACAGCTGAGCTGCTTAACAGCTTATCTAACCTGTTAAAGCAGGAAAATCCACTGAAACGTGCTGGATAGCAGCTCTCCAGGAGATCTGGGCTCAAGCTAGTCTGCTGCATAAAGTTATGAAAATATACCATGAGAAAATTATTCTGTAATGTGTTCAGCCCATTAAAACTGCCCTGATTTCATTATTTATTTACTGATACTAGCTGCTCTTGGTTGCAGGTGATCCTCTGGTGTCTGCAGCTGGTCTCCTGCTGATGTCGTCGGGATCAGGAACTTCCAGAAGAATGTGCCTTTCAATGACTCTTTCCCCCTTATTTGTTATATTAATTAAATAAATCTCAATTTATATATTTCCTGTTTTTGTTCATGTCCATAAATACTTAAACATGCTTGAAATTAAAACGAGCTTTTAACAGTGAGGTGCTAGTTTAGTTCATCACAATAGAGCTAGTTAAACATGCGACAATGTGATAATTCAATTAATGTAATTTATAAATATCCATTAAAATATCAAAACTGGAATCAAAATGAGATATTTGGCAGCACAAAAAACTTGTCAAACACAATATTTATTATAATAATTGTAGGCAGACAGGAGACAGAGCTGATGGAGGTTCTCAGTCATCGAAGGATGGCTGAAGGCTTTCCAGGAACAGGAGATGTGGTGTTGTCTCTTCTCTCTCTATTCTGCCAGATGAGCTGATAGGTTACAGGTGTGTGAGGACATCCTCATGCTGTCATAACCAGATGACAGGAGTTATCAGGTGATCAGCCAGGCTAATGATGAGATGCAGAAAGAAAACAAATCATGCAGAAAGAAAACAAATCCAGGACAGTGTACAGTAATAAAAATAATATGTGGTGTTGCTTACCTTATGTGCTCTTATAGAGTTATTAACGTGTGCCTGCCTCATGGTGTAGAGTCCATATTTTGCTGAGTGTCCTGCAGTAATGCAGGTTATTAGTTAATTTACTTTTGATAGCAAAAACAAAATATTTAATTTAAAAGTTATTTACCAGGTGAATCAGCTCACACGTCACCACCTGGTGGTGACCACCAAGTGTCACAGGGCCAGAATCAGTAGCCTCCTTCATGATGTAATCACATACTTATTTAATTGTTAATATCTTAAAAATTCAGAAATGTTTTAATTTTTTTTTACCTTGAACAGTTCACTGAGCTTGCACTGTCACTGAGGTGGAAGCTGGAATCAACAGCAGACACCTCACACCGTGGTCTTTTCAGGAGGTGTGGATGCTCTGGGACCTTCTGGAAGATGAATTTCTGTCATGGTCCCTGTGTCACAAGACACTGAGGCTGTGAGCTCTATAAAAAACAAAGAAGCAGCACATTTATGAACGTTTAAAAGAGCATAAAATCACGTGTAACAATCTGTAAAACAAATTAAAACTAGAAGGTAATAAAATGTTTACATAGAAGATTATTAAAAATAATTCACCTTTGCTACGGGTAACACCACGTCAGCCTGGACAAGTGCATTCTTGCAGATTACTAAATCAGTCTGACAGCCAGTGTCTTGGGTAGATTTAGCCTGAAAAAAAATAGAAGCACATTGATGTTTATAAAGTCAGATAAAATACAAAAGAAACTGTCCCATATAGGCGCTTTATAACATTCCTAGTGTGTGATGTTATTATAAAGTAAAAGTCAGTCACATATGATGTGGAGACCCTGAAATGCGACCTCCTGAACAGAATTCCTCACGGAACCGGGTCACGCTGTGCTGGATTTCACGCTGTAATGATGTCTGTCAACTAGTGCTGCGTCAGTTTAGAGTCACTGTTGCTGAATTACCGACTGACACAAAAACAACCCGAATTTTCTCTGAGCCTGACAGTCATGTGGACCGTTTTGTCGGCCAGGGCTTCGAGATATGTTCCGATTCGCCGCTGATTCTAATCTTACATCCCGTTCCACATTTTGTGAACTTGACAAAATAGCCCGAAGGCAGTGCAGACTGATATTAGCTAAATGGAGTGAACCACGTCTCTCAAACTTTGCATTTAGGTAGGAAATTGTCTTTAGAAGATGTTAAAACTTTTATTTAGCTTACTCACCTCAGACTGTAGCCCGTCATGGTGGGGGAGCAGAGTCGGTGGGCTGTATCTAAATCGCGGAAGAGCCACGGTGGGCACAGCCTCCCTCTTGGAACGGAGACGTGCAGAATCGCGGGTAAAATGCTGGTTGCAAACTACAGCACCAGGCGGGAGCTGAATCTTTTCCAGACACGCAACCACTGGCGCCTAATTTCTAAGTCCAGCGGAAAGGAGTGCAACCCGACAGAGCTCCGCAACCATACTACACTACACCATCTCACCATGCTAACACGATATGGAGCACTAAACCCGAACTACTTTCCTAATTACACTAACAGCCAAACAGTAACTAAACTACAATATCCAACAGCCAAGCTAACACTAAATAAGTATGTATAACACTAAAAGCTATGCTAAAGACTAGGATATGCTAATGCTATATGCTAATGCTGAACTACGGCTAGCCTCCTACACTCTCATGCAAATCCAACTCCCAACTCGCCACAAGGCGTGGCCGAGACTCCCGATGCTTTTATAACGTTGACACAGAGCTGCTACGTAGTACTCTACTGGATTACGTAGTATCTTACTCTTTAGCCATTGGCTAAAATTTATTCAAAATGAGTCAAATTCTATGTTTTAAGCTGAAGGTGGAGCTATACTGTGGTATTTAGGCAGAATTTTTAATTTTTTAAGAAAATGCACCAAAATGCTAAAATAATGAATACACACATTTAAAACACTATTAGACACTCATTTATACAGTTCATCAGCAAAAAAAGTTAATTTAGACGTTACTTGCTCTTTAAAGAAGTTGTCACTCCCCCCTCAGAGTCTTACTCCACCCACGTATCAATTTTAAAAACTGCAACATTAGTAGGCGTTGCCTGGAGGACCGAGAGGGCGGAGCCGCGGCAGTGACGAAACGATGGCTAACTAGACGATGCTTGCTCCCTTCACTCTGAGCAGTCATTAGAAGTGGAGGACGTTTCTCCCCCTCCTTACCCAGACACTCAAGAAGAAAGGGACCAAGTCTATTTGGAGGAGACAAGCGGACCTGAGCCTTATTGTTTTGAGCTTGTGAGTTGCCTGAAATTACCAGAACCGACCCAACAGAACCATCGCTGAATGTAAGTAGCCGTTAGCCATAGCATCAGATTAGCTGCAGGGTTTGTCTCCACGGCCCTAGTATTCAGCATGTTTTAGAGATTTATCTACTTCAACACACCTGGTTTTAATCAGCAACAAATAGCTGAGCTGCTTAACAGCTAATCCAACCTGTTAAAAGCAGGAAAACCACTGAAACGTGCTGGATAGCAGCTCTGGGCTCAAGTTACAGTCTGCTGCATAAAGTTATGAAACTACCCCATGATAAAATTATTCAGTAATGTGTTCAGCCCACTAAAACTGCCCTGATTTCATTATTTATTTACTGATAACAGCTGCTCTTGGTTGCAGGTGGTCCTCTGGTGTCTGCAGGTGGTCTCCTGCTGGTGTCGTCAGGATCAGGAGCTTTCAGAAGAACGTGCCTTTCAATGACTCTTTCCCCCTTATTTGTTATATTAATTAAATAAATCTCAATTTATATATTTCCTGTTTTTGTTCATGTCCATAAATACTTAAACATGCTTGAAATTAAAACGAGCTTTTAACAGTGAGGTGCTAGTTTAATTCATCACAAGAGCTAGTTAAGCATGCAACAAAAGTGATAATCAATGTAATTTATAAATATCCATTAAAATATCAAGACTGGAATCTAAATGAGATATTTGGCAGCACAAAAAACTTGTCAAACACAATATTTATTATAATAATAGTAGGCAGACAGGAGACAGAGTTGATGGAGGTTCTCAGTCATCGAAGGATGGCTGAAGGCTTTCCAGGAACAGGAGATGTGGTGTTGTCTCTTCTCTCTCTATTCTGCCAGATGAGCTGATAGGTTACAGGTGTGTGAGGACATCCTCAAGCTGTCATAACCAGATGACAGGAGTTATCAGGTGATCAGCCAGGCTAATGATGAGATGCAGAAAGAAATCATGCAGAAAGAAAACAAATCCAGGACAGTGTACAGTAATAAAAATAATATGTGGTGTGACTCACCTTATGTGCTCTTATAGATTTATTAACGTGTGCCTGCCTCATGGTGTAGAGTCCATATTTTGCTGAGTGTCCTGCAATAATGCAGGTTATTAGTTAATTTACTTTTGATAGCAAAGAACAAAATATTTAAAGTAAAAGTTATTTACCAGGTGAATCAGCTCACACGTCACCACCAAGTGTCACAGGGCCAGAATCAGTAGCCTCCTTCATGATGTAATCACATAGTTATTTAATTGTTAATATCTTAAAAATTCAGAAATGTTTTAATTTTTTTTTACCTTGAACAGTTCACTGAGCTTGCACTGTCACTGAGGTGGAAGCTGGAATCAACAGCAGACACCTCACATCTTGGTCTTTTCAGGGGGTGTGGATGCTCTCGGACTTTCTGGAAGATGAATTTCTGTCATGGTCCCTGTGTCACAAGACACACTGAGGCTGTGAGCTATATAAAAAACAAAGAAGCAGCACATTTATAAACATTTAAAAGAGCATAAAATCACTTGTAACAATCTGTAAAACAAATTAAAACTAGAAGGTAATAAAATGTTTACATAGAAGATTATTAAAAATAATTCACCTTTGCTACGGGCAAGGCTTCACGTCAGCCTGGACAAGTGCATTCTTGCAGATTAGGAATTCAGTCTGACAGCCAATGTCTTGGGTAGATTTAGTCTGAAAAAAAAATAGAAGCACATTGTTGTTTATAAAGTCAGATAATATACAAAAGAAACTGTCCTATATAGGCGCTTTATAACATTCCTAGTGTGTGATCATTATAACGTAAAAGTCAGTCACATATGATGTGGAGATCCTGAAATGCGACCTCCTGAACAGAATTCCTCACGGAACCGGGTCACGCTGTGCTGGATTTCACGCTGTAATGCTGTCTGTCAACTAGTGCTGCGTCAGTTTAGAGCCACTGTTGCAGAATTACCGACTGACACAAAAACAACCCGAATTTTCTCTGAGCCTGACAGTCATGTGGACCGTTTCATCGGCCAGGGCTTCGAGATATGTTCCGATTCGCCGCTGATTTTAATCTTACATCCTGTTCCACATTTTGTGAACTTGACAAATCAGCCCGAAGGCAGTGCAGGCTGATATTAGCTAAATGGAGTGAACCACGTCTCTCAAACTTTGCATTTAGGAAGGGAATTGTCTTTAGAAGATGTTAAAACTTTTATTTAGCTTACTCACCTCAGACTGGAGCCCGTCATGGTGGGGGAGCAGATCGGTGGGCTGTATCTAAATCGCGGAAGAGCCACTGTGGGCACAGCCTCCCTCTTGGAACGGAGACGTGCAGAATCGCGGGTAAAATGCTGGTTGCAAACTACAGCACCAGGCGGGAGCTGAATCTTTTCCAGACACGCAACCGCTGGCGCCTAATTTCTAAGTCCAGCGGAAAGGAGTGCAACCCGACAGAGCTCCACAACCATACTGCACTACACCTTCTCACCATGCTAACACGATATGGAGCACTAAACCCGAACTACTTTCCTAATAACACTAACAGCCAAACACTAACTAAACTACAATATCCAACAGCCAAGCTAACACTAAATAAGTATGTATAACACTAAAAGCTATGCTAAGACTAGGATATGCTAATGCTATATGCTAATGCTGAACTACGGCTAACCTCCTACACTCTCATGCAAATCCAACTCCCAACTCGCCACAAGGCGTGGCCGAGACTCCCGATGCTTTTATAACTTTGGCACGGAGCTGCTACGTAGTACTCTACTGGTTTACGTAGTATCTTACTCTTTAGCCATTGGCTAAAATTTATTCAAAATGAGTCAAATTCTATGTTTTAAGCTGAAGGTGGAGCTATACTGTGGTATTTAGGCAGAATTTTTAATTTTTAAAGAAAATGCACCAAAATGCTAAAATAATGAATACACACATTTAAAACACTATTAGACACTCATTTATACAGTTCATCAGCAAAAAAAAGTTAATTTAGACGTTACTTGCTCTTTAAAACCACAAGTAGAAGCGCTAAAAGCATTTCTTCTAAAAAATAAAAGATGTTTACGCCATTGCCAGATGCTATATATATATATTTTTTACTACAACTAGAAATCTACCGCATCGTGTGGTACAGTCGGGATTTCCTTCTTTTTTCTGATTGGTCATTTTTGAGCTTCCTAGTCCCGCCCCTCAAGTGATCTTCCAGCTAAAAGAAAAACTCAGCAGACTGGAGACTGTCTCCAAGATGTGTCTGTCACTCTTCAGGATGGTGTCCAAAAGCGCTTTGGTGAGATGATGGAAGACCCTGAGCTGACTGCTGCTGCAATCCTTCTTCCAAAGTTCAAGACCACCTGGACTGAGAGGCACGATATCATTGAAGCAGGTAATTTTTTATAATTTAATATCATACCTTAGTCTGTTTCTTATTCATTTCAATCCTGTCAACATACTTAAAGTTCAAATATACGAGTCTGTCGACACAAATTATAGTATTTGTAAGGCATGCATTACTAAAAACAATTCTTGTTGCATCTTCTATCAAAACTTAATTGCCAGATATATTAAATATGTGTTATGTATTTGTCATTCAACAGGTTTGATCAATATGAGAAGACATCTTGACCAGATGGCAGAGGCTGGGGCGGAGCAAGTCAAGCAACAGTCATCACATCTTACCCTCATCTTTGTTTAAAAGTGCTTTTCAGTCCATCGGTCCCAGCGTGCTCTCTATAATTAATGCTTCTCTGGTTTCTGGTCAGGTCCCTGCTTACTTTAAGAACGCTGTAATCCACCCGCTTCTTAAAAAACCGAGTCTCGGCCCCTCTCTCCATAGCTGCTTCAGACCCATCTCTAAACTTCCGTTCATCTCCAAGATCTTGGAAAAGGTTGTGGCTAAACAACTCACAGCTGCTCTTGATCAACATAACATCTATGATAGCTTCCAGTCAGGTTTTCGTAGAGCTCATTCTACTGAAACAGCTCTTCTTAGGGTCTCTAATGACCTTCTGACCCACAGTGATGCAGGGGACAGTTCTGTTCTGGTCCTGCTGGACCTGACTGCAGCCTTTGACACTGTTGACCATCACCTGCTACTGGAGAGGCTCAGAGACTGGGTAGGCTTATCAGGATCTGCCGGGGGGGGGGGGGGGGGGGGGGTCATTATGGGAAAAGTCATGGGCTTGTGACTATAACCTAATTTATGTTACTAGTTTGCAGTGTAACTGCCTTTGTACTTCAATATGCATATTTGTTCATTCAATAAAAAAACGGCCACTTTGACATTTATACCCCATTGTCTTTTTTTAACTATTCAGAAGAGCCCGTCCTTGCACAGTCAAAAAAGTAACTAAGTAACTTTTACTCTGACTACATTTGAAATAAGCTACTTTTTACTTTTACTTGAGTACATTTTGAGGCAGGTAATTTTACTTGTAATTGAGTAAAATTTCATGAAAGTAATTATACTTGTACTTAAGTACAACATTTTAGTACTCTTTCCACCTCTGCCTGGCAGGGAATGGGCATTTAGAATTAGCATTAAGGCTAAACAGCTAATTATTTGCTATATATAATAAATATCTCACCTGCTGTAGAAAGTTTCTTAAACATGTTTATGTTCTTGTGGCCAGATAAGCTAACAGCAAGACCAAAGGAACATTCTAAAGAGACATATTATGACTTTTTAAGAAGTTATTAAAAAAAACATTTTCATGACATTCTTCACACTAAGTCGCCCTCACGTAAAGCAGTAACAGCAGTTGACCGTTTCAGAACCTTTCAGAGTGAGCAGTTTCAGGGCTCTGTTTTACAAACTAGGGTTGGCCACGCCCACCCATCTTCCTCCCAGGCTGCTATAAGCTAAGAAGCTCCAGTATCGAAGGGACTCAGAATAGTGATGCTGCTCCCCTGATCATCATGATCCGTTCCTGACAGCCGCTGTTTCTCACTCCCCAACCCAACCCCACGTGCCCAGCATTGCGCGCTGCACGATAATTAAACCGGCTCAAAAACTCCACCTTAAACCGGTTCTCCCAACATGACCATATACAGGCAGCCTGGACATGCATCTGCGGCCAGAGCTTTCTTCTTTTTCAATCTCTCCTTTTCTGCTCCACCTTTCCTTGTCCGTCTAGGTCCATTTAGCCTCTGGGGCCAAAGGTGCGGTGGTGCAGTAGCCGCTCTGGGGTGGTGGGTGTCTGCAGCGCTTTGCCAGACCCCGACAAAGTGAGAGGAGAGGGTGTCTTTGTGCCCAGTTTCTCCGTTTTTGTGAGCATCAGGACGGCAGATGCTCTGGTGAGCTGCATGACGGATTGCTCATTTAGATATTACGCACGTCATGACCGGCAAACACTGAGCGGGCCAGTTTAACAGCCAGGCCACCGGGAAATCTCCCGTTTCTCCCGATTACCAGTCCGCCACTGAAGAGATATGTGTTAACTTAGAAAATGTGGGCGCAATTTTAATTACTTGTCAAAACACCCCCACCCCCACCCCCCCTACCGTGCGTGTTCCGGCATCTGTTTTGCCTTTAGTGAACTTTGGTTTGACGTCAATATTTGCGTTCCGAGAAAGTTTGATTTACAAATGAAGCGCTGCTACAAACTAGCTTATGCTGCAGTGTTTTGTAACCCTTTACATCACCGTTCATTTCTCTTTACATTGTTAATTATCCTCTTGCTATTTAGACTCATAAATATGAGCAGCTGAATGTAACACTTCCTGTAGTCCAGGAGTAATTCTTTCATATTTCCACTGAAACAATAATGCCAAAAGTCATGTAGAGCACTTACGAAATTATCTTTTGAAGTTGGGCCGTTTAATATGACTTGGGATGAATCACTTATTGCTCGTGAAATAAAGAAGAAGTTCTGCAAGATTGGCGTTACTGTAAAGGTTGTTATTGTTACTGTGTTGTGTTATTGTTTACAGCCACATATTTGTGTTTTGGTTGCCTTCAGTCCTGCAGGACATACCATCTCTGTCTCCAAAAATCAGGTATGTGTAATTTTTACACAAAATCCACATCTAAATGATTATTTTACCTGCAGCTCTCAGAACATCACGCTTCACAAGTCATTATTTCTGTTCTGTCATAGTTAAAAGCATCTGGAATCAGACTGATCTGGTTCTGTGTTTACAATCCCATCAGCAAAGGATTGTGACAGGTCTGGGCACGGGTAGAGAAATGTTAATACAGTGAAGGAATAATGTCCATCCAGATGGTCCCCTGGAATTATCGGCTTTACACGGAATAATGAAATCTCTGCTCTCTATAGGCATCCTTTCCTCTCACATCTTAGGATGTCATCAACCCAGTCAGTGATCCCTGTTCACTGGACACATCCATCAGACTCTTACAAACACCCCAATCATCATCAGATTAAAACAATACGACAGCATCGTAAGAGGTAGTCCTGCATGACTTGCATCATTTCACTTTTGTGTCACTTCATTAACTCCATATGTTTCCGTTAGCATGGTGATTAATTGGCTTTATCTATCTTGTATAGGTCTAAAGTGGGGAAATGTGTTAAGTTGAACCCAGATGGGCTTTTCCGGGGAATTTCAAACTAGATCAAAGCGCTCCGTGAAAGATGGCTGGCAGAGATACTGACGACC